GTCTTACTGCTACCCGTGGTTGGCCCTGCAGGTGTTGCTATCGACGATAAGCTGGAAATCGGTGCGGTCGGATCGGATGGGATCATGCAAATGGTTTGTGGTCCAAAATCAAAAATTAAGAGCATTGATTAGGAATTAAATTAAATATTAGACGATCCAAACTAGATCGCGTTTGGTGCAGTTTGGTCCGATATGATCTGCACCATGCGGATCATATTGATAAAAAAAAATTAGAAGTTTGTTTAGTCAAGCACATAAATAACCGGGGAAAAAAATTCTATTTTGACCTTCAAACATAAATTCTAACACGCTTGTATAGTTTTGATACCATAAATGACAAAAACACAAAGTCAGGGCAATCCAGCTTGCACCTTAACATCATAATATTAACACAATATCGTATGGAGACACGGTTGTCTCTACCCTCTGGCAGAGTATGGTTTATGAATTAAGGAGTGGATGGGATTTGCAAAATTAGGATTGAGACTTGGCTCGTTAAGGAGAGGGGAGAGTGGTCGAGTGAATTGCTAACACAAATTGAGACGTGGGTGGGGTCCACGGTTTGGTATGATAAACCGCTGTCTTGACCAGACCAGATCAAGAGATCAATACATCCTATAACATATACCATTGGTCAGACCAGATTATTCTTAACGACCTATAGTCTGGACCAAACTATGTGATCCAGTTTGGTCCACAATTTTTCATATGGTCTAGTCTATTTTCCAGCCCTAATGGATCCCACGTGTTACGAGAACCGTAGATATGCACACGAGAGAACAAGGTACGGATACTTGTTAAATTATGTCGTGAGCTGAGTCGAGCTTAATCTACGTTGAGCTCAGGTATTAGAAAATGAGTTGCGTTTGAGATCAACTCATTTATTAAAATTTTGTCTCAAGCACAGTTCAAGCTAGACACAAACTCAGCTTATTTATAAGCTCACAATCTCTCTATAATCTATAATACACAATTTCTCATTCAAATTATAAATAAGACATAATTAGTAATGTACGTACAACATCAACCACCACTAGATGCAAATCCTTTATTATTATTGGAGATATTCATGATTTGCATACTTGTTTTGACCAGGTGGAATTTTTTTATGGGCCCCTTTAAAGTCTGTGTAGTTATAAATTTACAAAATCTAAGTACTTCTAAAAGATAGTTTACACTGTGTCTAATCTCAAAGTTAGTTTAATACTTATTTCTGACAACGCGAAAAATAAATGCAATAGCTAAATGGTGGTTTGTCATATTTGTTCGCTATACAATTTTGTCAAGTAATTGTCAAGAACTAGTTGATCCCGATAACATATTGTTTACTAACATACCCCTCAAACGAAAGCCACCATATATGGGGTTAAAGTTTGCACAAGTTCAAACACAATATACTTATCATAACAGATGAGGGTCATCGGGATTCATACATAAAACCTCTTAGTCACAGAAGACTCAAATAACATGTCAAGAACCAGTTGGTCTCAATAACCGAGTTGGTGGGACCAACTCGGTTATTGAGACCAACTGGTTCTTGACATGGTAATGGTGACTTTCGTTTGAGGGGGTGTTTTAGTAAACAGTATAAAATCCACAATTAAAATCCACAAGTAAACAGAATAAAGGAATTCGAAATATTGGGATCAATTTATTCTTCATAGTAATACAACAAGGAATTGGTTTGGTAACTTTGCTTATAATTCCCTAATTCTTGGAACTAATTCAGCCATAACAAATATTCATCCTAAACTCATCCTTTATTCTCCATTTTCTGCATGTAATTCTCTACCAATTAACAGATGACAAGGTCTCAACCTATTACAAATATTCATCTTCCTCGGTTTCCTTTTATGCATACCGTCATGCATCTACTACAATCAAATACACTAGGAGGTTGTTTGCCTCATGGAATTGGAATGATCGAGCATCTTTCAACAATCCATCGGTCAATGAATCGTGCAACCCAATTTCTAATTTTCTTTCATCAACCGATTGATTGATGGGCATGAGGATTTTGAAAATCCAAAGTTCAATGAATTTGGAAGTCGTTGTGGGTTTTCTATTCAGAAAATCCACTATTTGGCCTCACAATACCGTTAGTCTTACAACAGTCTAGTTCTTAGCTAAATCTTGGTGTTACGTTACTATTACAACACAGGCAAGCATATGATGGCTGGCTAAACCCCAAAAAACGCGAGAGCAAAACAAGAGCCAACAATGGCGAAAGTGACGGAAAGCAAGCTCCACCACCATTCACTGTACCGCCAACGCATTCTCCGTTCCCCGTTAAAACGTTATCTCTTTCCCGCCACTACCAGAATCGATCCACCACACGTATCCTCGTCAGCTATTCTACGGCCTGTAATTAATTTATCAATACAACCACGTAAAAATCTTACTGTACCCTACAGTAGGGCTGGCTATTTGGTCCCAGACTGTTTGGTTTTACCCGAAATCGGATCGTATAACTCGGACCGGGACCGTACAGAGACCGGATAGCAAACAATCCAATCTCATATTCGGGCTTAGATTTGAGGTAAAAAAACCGGATAAAGACCGGATAAGAGACCCCCAACACCTAAAATCAAGATTAAATTGGGATCGGATCGGGTCAAGACCGGACCGAATCAAGACCAGACTGTATCCAATCCAATATTTGGTCCTTATATTCCCGAAAAAACCGGACTGAGATCGAATCAATTTAATCCAATTTAACCGAACCGGACCGTATAGCCACCCCTACCATCCTATAGTGACAATACAGTACCTGCCGAAATATTCCGTTATAAAGTACGGCTCCCAGTGGAAAACAGGAGGAAACAGACCCACACCACCAAACATTCTCCTTCCAAAAACCCCTCCACTCCAGGGGTTTCTCTGTGCCCACAATTCCACCATGCAGATTCCACTCCTGCTTTCCTGCCTGATTCTCGCCGCTCATCTGAACGGCGCCGTCTCTTCCTCGCCGTCGGAGTCCGTCAACATCGGAGTGGTTCTCTCCTTCGGCTCCATCATTGGCAAAGTTTCCAAAATCGCAATCCAGGCCGCCGTCGCCGACGTCAACTCCGACCCCTCCGTTCTCCCCCGAACCAAGCTCCTCGCCACGGTGCACGACACCAATTTCAGCGGATTCCTCGGCATCGTCGAAGGCAATGCCTATCTTAATCTTAATCTTAATCTCAATCATGTTGTTTGCTCATTTGTTGCTTAACAGTGTCCGAATCCCTAATTTGATTGCAGTGTTGAGGTTGATGGAGAGCAAGACGGTGGCCGTAATCGGCCCCCAGTCGTCGGTCACAGCTCACGTGCTGTCATTCATCGCGAACGAGCTCCAAGTTCCGTTGCTCTCATTCTCAGCCACCGACCCGACGCTCAACTCGCTGCAGTTCCCCTTCTTCGTCATGACGTCGCAGAGCGACCTCTACCAGATGGCCGCCATCGCCGACATCGTGGAGCACTACGGGTGGAGGGAGGTGATCGCGATCTACGGCGACGACGACCACGGCCGGAACGGGATCGCGGCGCTCGGCGACCAGCTGGCGGCCAAGAGATGCAAGATCTCGTTCAAGGCGCCGCTCAGCCCCAAGGCCACGAGGGAGGAGATCACCGATGTCCTGGTCCAGGTCGCTTTGACCGAGTCGCGGATTCTCGTCCTCCACGTGCCGGATTATTGGGGGCCGACGGTCTTCACCGTCGCCCGGTATCTCGGGATGATGAACGCCGGCTACGTCTGGATAGCCACCAATTGGTTCTCCACGATTCTCGACACCGAGCTTGATCTTGCTCCCGAGGCGGCGGAGGATGTGCAGGGCGTCCTCACGCTTCGGATGCACACCCCGGATACACAGCTCAAGGCGGAGTTCGCGTCCAGGTGGCCTAACTTGACCGCCGAAGCCGGCGCTGGGAGAATGGGGCTCAGTGCTTACGGCCTGTACGCTTACGACACTGTGTGGATCCTGGCCCGAGCGCTCGACGCATTCTTCGCCCAAGGGGGAAATGTCAGCTTTTCAAAGGATTCCAGGTTGGTTCGCAATTGGGTTGGTTTGGTTACTCTCTTTTTTATGCACACCAGGTGTTTGGTATAATGTCCCTGAGAGAAACGGCTGCGTTGGTTATTTATGCTTTCTTTAGGTTAGCGGAGCTCGGGGGAGGAGACTTACGACTGGATGCAATGAGCATGCTGGACGGCGGGAAACAGCTGCTGGAGAGCATCTTAAACGTGGATATGTTGGGAGTGACGGGTCGGGTCAAGTTCGAGCCGCCGGAGAAGGACACCTTGATTCGCCCCGCATACGAAGTCATCAATGTGATCGGGACAGGACATCAGAGGATCGGGTACTGGTCGAATCACTCGGGTCTCTCCGTTGACCCGCCGGAAACACTCTACTCGAAGCCGGTCAACCGGTCCAGCTCGAACCAGCATTTGGGACCCGTTTTCTGGCCTGGGAAGACTACCCAGAAGCCTCGGGGATGGGTGTTCCCAAACAACGGGAGACATTTGGCGATCGGGGTGCCAAACCGGGTCAGCTACCGTGAATTCATCGCTCAGGTGCCCGGAACCGATATGTTTTCCGGGTACTGCATCGACGTTTTCACGGCCGCCGTCAACCTGTTGCCGTACGCCGTGCCTTACAAGCTGATCCCGTTTGGTGACGGAGTTGACAACCCCAGCTTGACGGAGCTCGTCCGTTTGATGGCGGCCGGCGTTTATGACGGCATAGTCGGCGATGTTGCCATCATTACTAACCGGACGAAGATGGCTGACTTTACACAGCCGTACATCGAGTCTGGGCTGGTGGTGGTGGCGCCGGTAATGACGAGGAACTCTAATGAATGGGCATTTATGAGACCCTTCACCCCAGCAATGTGGGTGGTCACGGGTGTTTTCTTCCTCATCGTCGGTGCGGTCATTTGGATATTGGAGCACCGGCTGAATGACGACTTCAGAGGCCCGCCGAGAAGACAAGTCATCACCATTATATGGTGAGTCTATTGGATGGCAGAACTAGAGACGATTGTAGGTTCAGCATGTTATAGGTGAATCCAGTAACTAACAGTTTCTTTATTTGATTCTGCAGGTTCAGCTTTTCAACATTGTTCTTCGCTCACAGTAAGTGGATTTTGAAAGCAATCAAAATTAATGTGCTGTATTCCTCATCCAATCTCTTCAAACTTCCTAACCTTTCATGTGTACAGAAGAGAACACCGTGAGCACCCTGGGGCGGATCGTGCTGATCATATGGCTGTTCGTTGTTCTGATAATCAACTCAAGCTACACGGCCAGCCTGACCTCAATCTTAACAGTGCAGCAGCTTTCTTCACCCATCAAAGGAATCGAGACCCTGAGAACTAGCAACGACCCCATTGGTTACCAACAAGGTTCATTCGCCCGGGACTACTTGGTTGACGAACTTGGTTTCCATGAATCCAGGATGGTCCCACTCAAGGGCCCCGAGGACTGCGAAAGGGCCCTAAAAGCTGGTCCTCACAAAGGCGGCGTTGCTGCTGTAGTCGACGAACAGTCATATCTCGAACTATTCCTTTCGACCAGGTGCGACTTCAGTATAGTAGGTCAAGAGTTCACCAAGAACGGCTGGGGATTTGTAAGTACTACTACTATTATCTAGTACTCTTTGTTCGCAAGTACTGCTGCTGTTTCTGTAATACATGTTGTCTATGGCGCCTGCAGGCCTTCCCGAGGGACTCTCCACTGGCAGTTGATCTGTCCACTGCCATTCTCAAGCTGTCCGAAAACGGAGATCTTCAGAGGATTCATGATAAATGGCTGATGAGCAGCGCTTGTAGCTCGCAAACCACGACTTTTCAAGTAGACAGACTTCAGCTCTCAAGCTTCTGGGGACTCTTCCTCATATGTGGCTTGGCTTGCCTGATAGCCCTCCTGCTATATTTTCTCAACATTGCCAGACAGTTTAGCCGCCACCAGCAGGCAGACATGTCCCACTCTTCTTCTTCCTCCTCTGCTGCTCTCTCCCTCTCGTCAGCATCTGCTCGTCTTCAGACTTTCTTTTCGTTCGTGGATGAGAAAGAGGAGAATGTTGCAAGCCGGTCCAGGAGGAGGTCGCTTGAGAGAGCATCTAACAGAAGCGAGCGCGAAGCTGGCAATGGGGAGACTCAAGATTCCAAGGCAGGAAGACAGGTTGAGTTCTCTACAAACAAGGACATTGGTATTGAGAACGGAGTCTAAGGCACGTTCTTCATTACAATTCACACATCTATACAATTCAACTCAAAGCAGCCAGTGGATGGATATAGGACAGTGCACAAGATCGGATCAGGCTGAAGGAAATTATATTAGATGAAGTTGCTTGAAATATGATTACAGTATCATTAGAAGTCTTACAGATCTTATTTACAGTACCTATAATATAATCACATGCTGCTTCCAGGCTCCATGGCAGCTACAGAGCGCCTCGAAATCCAAATCAAACCGTTCCGAAGTACTTGCGAAAGCATTCCTCTTCTGCAAGGTATCTCCGAGCCACTTGGTAAACTTCGATCAACAGCTTTGGGAATCGAGTGGCGAAATACCCGTCATAGCCGTCTGGAACTGGTCCAACTACCTCCTGGATTTCTTCAGGGAGCTCTCTGTAGTGATTCAGCTTGTTGCGCATGAGGCGCAGCAAGTCCCTCACACTGTCGTACTTATAGCGACGATAACGGCCGACGTTGTTAATGAACGAGGGCTCCATCTTCTCATCCCATTTTCCGCCTCCCAGCACTGTCGGTGCAACGCTCTCCAATGCTGCCAAAAGATCGGAATTGCTCTCTCGATCTTCTAGTTCCACCCTGTCACTGGTGTCTCGTAGAAATGAAAGTCTCGTCTCAGAACTCCAGAACATGGGATGCTGCAGAACTTCGTGCGCCTTTGGTCTGACCACAAATAGAGGCAACATTGTCAATGAATAAGTTTTGAGCAACCATGAAAGCATGGAGGTATTTTTCTGCTCATAGAAGGGTAATGCTACTGACTGAAAGAAAGATTCCCAGCAAATAATACCTAAGTTCAGGTTCGGGGTTTAATAAACTGGAAATAAGATTCTCAGCCTCCGGGAGATGCTCTAACAAGAATAGATTGATTTGGTTCTTCACTATATTGATATCACGTTCGAGTGGTTCGCCAAACGGGTGTCTACCACCAGTGATGCAGAAAAAGAAGACGCAGCCTAAGCCGAATAAATCCACTGAACGTGTTTGGCGGCCATGGAGAAGCTGTTCAGGCGCTTGCCAACCTGAGCTACCGCATCCTACAATGTCATTAAACTGATTTCTATTAGCATATATGTGTTAAACTGGTATTATTTCCATTTCATAGACTAAACTATAAAAGCTCACCAGTTGCTTGATGGCCCAACGAAGACATATCTTCTAGCAGCCGCTTACTTATGCCCATGTCAGAAAGCTTTGCACACAAAGATCTTTCCTTGCTTATCAATACATTTTGCGGCTTCAAGTCCCTGTGAATTATTCCTAGCTCATGCAAATGTGCAAGTCCAGATACCATATCCCTGTTGTACAAATCATAGGAGGCGATGAGAACATGGTAATGCTTTAACTAAAACCAAATCGATTTGATAGATTTCAAAATAGCTTTTGCGAATCTCTATATTTGCCACAATCAATCACAAATAAAAACCATCCAAACTATCAATTCAGTTGCGGCAACAATTAGTCAATTACCTCATGAGTGCCAAGAGAAGAGCTGATGGATGACCATTTTCTTTCCACAAATTGAGGTCCTTCATAGCAGTCGCAACTGAAACCAACACTGAATTATTTTTTGCAGCTACCCTAGCTGGTTCTTTCGCAGAGGAAGGTGAAGATCGGGAGTACATCTGGACCAAATCATTCAAGCTGCAGGTACACCGTTCCAGTGACAGATAAACAAAATCCTTATCATACTCCACGCCATACCATCGAACAATGTTTGGATGCCTATCTGATGCAATGAGATTCTGAACTTCTTTGAACGCCACATCATGATGAGCCTGGACAAGCCTTTTAACAGCAACCCTCCTGCCTTCATAAATACCCTCGAGCACTATGGTTCCATTACTTCCCTTAGCAATCTCAGTATCTGATACATATAACTTACCTATTCTACGCCCATTCACATCATGATCATCAGTAAGTTGATTAAGATTCAACCACATTCTGTTACCATCCTCATTAACATCTGCATCGCTGTTAGTCTTTTTCCCCAATCTTCTATTCCTCTTCTTTTTAGAAGACAAAGAATGACCTTTCAACGATACTTTCTCAGTTGCCAGCAGCGTACGGTGGTAAAACACAAAGGCCAATGAAAAGGTGATAGCAAACAAACCGAAAAATATAAACTTTGACCACTTGAATCTGTGAAGCACTCGTATTTCCTCCTGCACAATTTCCCCAGGATCATTTGACAAACCAAGCATTCCTTCTGTATCTTCAGAATCAGCAACAAGATCTGACACCTTGTACCCTTCAGATTGTGTAGGAGAAGCAAAGCCAGATTTAGAACTAGGAAGCCTTAGCTTCTCTTCACCATCAATAGCTGGGATTGAAGCTTGAGGCGGCTTATCCTGCCTTCGAACTTCCAGCCGCTTTGATTGACAAAGCAAATCCGACGTGTCAACAGAATCACCATCCCCAACTGCAGCATCATACTTACAAATAAAAGCAGCCTCCACAGTTGCCACTTCCACATTCCAAAATACCTTATCCGAATTGGGACCAAAAGTTTCCAGCGCATAATCTGTCCTCGTGACGTAAATCATGTCAACAGCAGCATCTTTGGAGCTAGATGCTGGTCGGACATTACTATTCTCCACATCACCACCACCATATCTCTGATGTGGTGGTAACGAATCAGGGGAGCTGTAAGTTCGAACTAAGTTCCCACTCTTGGCCTCAAGAGCAAACACAGTGGTTTTCTTGGAGCCCAGGATTACAGTTCCATCCTCGGAAATATGCGGTGTTATCTTAATGAAGTCGTCGATACCCTTGGGAAGTTTCTGCTCAAGAGTTACACAATACAACGATGAAAAGTGATCAGTGAAAGATTAAATGTGGCAGAAAAAGGAGATAAATTAGTAATTACCATTCGGGTAGAATGTTTGCCGTGGGCGTAGAGCTGCCAGTCGTCTCCATAGTCAAGGAAGAAAGCAGAATTGGGTCCAAAAATGCTGTTGTCTTGATCGCCGGCGGCTTGGCCCAGAAAAGGGGATTGATAGGAAGAGTAGACGGGAGAGCCAGATGAGAAGGACCATAGAACCTTCCCGGAGATGGGATCTTGGAGACAAATAGTGCCGTTAAGCAGAGCAACTAATTCAGCCGGAGAAGAAGAATCATCCTCCGATTCCCTGCACAAGGTGAATTTAACAAAAAGGTGAATTTAACAAAATCCGGAGATTTGAATCATAACTGTAAACATAGAAAGTGAAAAAAAGCAGCTGAATTTTGATTTGGGTATCTGTAAAAGTGGGCTTACGAGGAGAAGGATTTGAGAGAGCGGGCAGATGGAGACCGATGACTGAAGTCAACCGCCCACGGTGGAGCTGCTGCTGATGGAAGAACCACCGCCGTTACGCCGTCGGCAGCAGCGGCGGAGCAGAGCACTGCACTTGCAGCGATTAGGAACGAGAAGATGCATAGGAGGTAGGAAAAGGGGCGGAGGGGTTTCATATGGGCAGGTCGGATCGGGTCCGGTGGTACGGCGGCGGAGGCGGCGGCGGAGATGTGATGTTGGAGTTGGAGAGGGAAGAGGAAGGAGGAGTGATTTGGGTTTAATACATAGAACTGATGGAGGGGTTGAAGGAAGAGCCGAAGAGGAAATCCTCAAACGCCCCAAAAGAAGCAGGGCGCGGCAAAAGATTCCCCCAAGGTTGCTTCTTCTCCACCAAAACCCCTAATTGCAGACTACTGTTACCTTCTTAGATGTTGGGATTCCTTTCCTTCCCCACGCCCGACGACAACCGCGCCACCGCGCTCCGGAAATTTTCCTTCTTCTTCTTTCTCCGTCGCCTGAAGTCTGAACCAACTACCACATTCCGACTCTGGGAACTAAAGGGTCGTTCGTCAAACACGCCCCAAAGTCCGAGTCACTTCCGTTGAACAAGAGTCAGGACTAGGAATTTCATAGTGGTCACTAAACTATACTCAATGTTAGGGGTGGAAGTTTGGTTTGCGGATTGCGGATAATTCGCAAACCGCATCAAACCATATAATTTGTGGGGATGAGATTATTCGCAAACGCACCAAACCGGATAATTCGCAAGCCGCACCAAAAACGCTATTAAAAACAACGAAATCACTACAGATTATTATAAAATGAATACAACATCTAAGCTAAATCACTACTAACCCTTGGTTAGGACGGTGCTAACTCTTGTACAATTAGCACCGTAACTCCTCCCTAATTTGTGGATAACCATACCCACAATTTGTGGATAGTGGGTTGGGTGTGGGTAGGAAAATATCAATTTTTATGGTTAGTGGTTAACTACTATCCACAACGATTAACCCACAAAACCCACAATAACCATACTAAGTATATTTATTCATAATAATTTGTAATATCAAAGTATGTGAAAAGTAGAATGCTACAAATTAAAGTAACCTCCAAAATCGAATATGTACTTATTTTATAAAATAAAACCAAGTCAATACATCGTGTTCGTATGAGATAATACTTTTATTAAATAAGCATTGTCGACCTGGTATGTGTTTATTTTATAACAAAAAAAGTCAATAAATATGGTTTATAGTTTATTTAACACTTTATTAAATTTCTTTTATGTAGGTTTTGTTTTTGTGTAAGAAGACGCTAATTCCATAACTAGGGAGAGAATTCCATTTATCCCTTAAAAATTCGAATAAAAACGCAAATGAGTCATGCCGTTGATATAAATGCTATGTATATTTAGATTAGATCCCCTCCAACCCATACTCGTTATCAATATGCATTTCCTAAAGAAAGTGAAATGACCTGTAAGCGAGTGAAGTGAACCGAGGAGAGGGAGGGAGGTTGACTGCTTAGGAGGTTTCGAATACCGGATTCTTGCTTGTTCCATGTCTTGGGCTTCTTTACTTATTTTTAACTCAATGTGTGTTTTTTCCCGTCACTTGACCGATAGATTTATCATATACGAATCCGAAGGGTGAAAGAACGATATTTTTTGTGGGTATCCACATCCAACCTGCACCTACCCACTGCGGGGCGAGTTGTGGGTAGCATAATTCTATTTTTGTGAGTGTGGTTACCTGCAAAATGTGGGGCGGGTAACCACACCCACCCCAATTTTCACCCCTACTTAATGTACCAAAATAGTAATTCAATCTTCAAAACCTGACAGAGTGATCACTTATATTTTTTAGGCCGTAATAAAATTATAAAAAGGCAGCATTCCAAACTCGATCATCATTTGGCAGTCATCTAGTTTAGGGATGGCAATGGGTCGGGTCGGGGGCGGATAGTGCATATCCGTTACCCTTCCCAAAGTACTTCGGGTTTTACCCATACCCATACCCACATGTGAAACGGGTAGAAAATCAAAACCATGCCCATACCCGTTCGGGTTTCGGGTATCCACGGTTATCCATGGATATTAATTTCTCTTCATAACTCCAACCAACATGTTAACATTCACACGTATTCTTATATTAAGTAAGAGAAAAAGTACGACAAGAATTCACTAGAATGAAGAAAATTAACTAAAACAACACAATTTCATGAAAATGTTATATTTATATGCTAAATATAAAATATGTTAGAGAAAAATAATGATTATTTCTAGACAAAATACATATGCATGTGTATAATCGGGCGGGTTCGAGTCGGATAGTGAGAAATCCATGCCCACCCATTACCCGCAATATTCGGGTTCGGGTTTTACCCGTACCCACTAAATGTCTTTCGGGTTCGGGTTTTACCCTACCCGACTAGGCCGGATTCGGGCGGATATCCACAGTTACGGATATTTTTGCCATCCCTAATCTAGTTTATACTAGTGTGGTCCCGGCCAGTTGGCCGGAGGAAGGTGAGTTATGAAATTTTATAATGTAATAGAGTGTATAACTTATTGTTGTATAGTTTTTTCTTGGAAACACGTGATAAATATAGTGAATTTTAGCAGGAAAGAGACATGGATGATGCAACGAATCAAAAATTAGCTTTATGAACCAAGTTCGAGTACTTGTTACCTTGTGAAACAGTATTATTTCTTATAATATGATGATGTGGAGTAAGTTTGATAGAAACCGAATTCCAGGAAACCGAATAAAAATCGCCTATAAAATACACTATAATTTAATCATTAGGATATCAAATAATCACATAATATACATTTGAAATTATAAAAATTGGACTAATCTAGTTGGTCGAGGTCGAACCATTTAATAACTTTAAAATACATTATATTTTAGCCACTAAGATATAAAATAATAGCATAATATATGTTATGCTAGAGAAAATAGCATGTTTTAGGATGGCAAACCCATGATGTTCATTTGTTTTACTTGATGGCCAAATGTCGTATGGGTCAAGCCCATTCAACTCTTGAATTCTATGCTTAGCGGTTAGCCCATTAGAATCCATGCATTAGTTTATTGTTAAATTTTTTTCTTTTTAGCAATAAAAAATGAGTATTGTTTTTGCCCTTTCATATATATCTTATCAACAGCGAGAAATAAAAGGGCTTAAAGAAAACCCTATATCCCCTAAAAAAAGCTTATCAATGCTCTCCGACTCATGATTCACTTCTCTCTCTATCTCAATTATATCGTTGTCGGTAGTCACTTCTCCCCATCCATGTTTTCCTGCCATTAATTTTAGCTCTACAAACCTTTTCCCTGCATGTCATCCTCCCCCCGAACCTCAATTTCAACTCCCCCTCTCGGTCTCTATTTTTCATTTCTTAATCTTCACTTCTCTTATCACTTTGTTTAAACCCCTCTTTGTATATCTTCGACGCTAGTTTAACGAAGAAGAAGAGAAAGCCACCAATCTTCAATAATACTGTATTGTTACAGTGAAGCGATATTTTGGATTTCTTTGTCACTTATTTGTTAGAGCTTGCGAATGATGGAAAAAGGGGTGGTTGATAACGATTTGATTAGATGACTCGATCTTTGAATTTTACTTGCATGCAATTTACCAAACCTTCTTCATTTGCATGACTAGATTTATTTTCATAGGGAAGGGATTAGGCGATTAGCACACGGAAGAAGGATTGGGGAAATTATTTTGTAAACAATTATGAAGCTCACTTTCTATATTTATTTCATTTATTCCCGGCGTGGGTGGAGTCCAGATCCAGCATCGGAACAATCCAAGACTCGGTTATGGCGATCGTTATGGAGGCACGAAACATATGCGGCCGTGGCTGAAACCTGTTCTGTTTTTGTGGGCCCCAACAATCCATGGGCCCGTTCAAGTCCGCACGTGTACGGTAAGTTGGCCCGTTCCACAGAGGAAAGAGAAAACAAATTGACACTCCCTATTATACCCTCCTACAAACGCTCCTGGAGCAGTACATTTGAAATAGGGAAAGGTTTTTTTTCCTTCCTGCAATCATGAGGTTATTTCATTCAAAAGAAACTATGTTTTATATGTTGAAGATCAACATTATAGGTTGAATAGTTCAATTCGGCAATGATCTCAGGTCTTGCATATAATTTTGTGTAAAAGTGATATGATTGAAGCTATTCCCTATTTTAACACTAATCAGAATAGTCTTTGTTTACTGCAAACTAACCACCAAAACATTTCAAATCAGAAAAATGATGATACTAAAAAGGAGTATTATAACAAAAGCAACAAAAAGTATAGTTATTTATCTTTAATCAACTCAAAAGTCAACCTAGAAGATCAACCAAATGAACTGATGTTAAGAGATCACACATTACTGTCAAATAAACTATATAACCCACCAGTCAGCTCTCCAAGCAAGAACATTCAATCTTTCCATATTTAACCCTCCGAAAATTGCTTTGCGTAACAATATAGGTGGAGGAGGTTAGGCGGTTGTCGAGCTCAGTGGGAAGGTTTGGAGAGACGGTGATGGTTGAGCCTTTAGTAGGACGGGAGCCTGGGGCACTGTTTATCTTTAATCAACTCAAAAGTCAACCTAGAAGATCAACCAAATGAAATGATGTTAAGAGATCACACATTACTGTCAAATAAACTAAATAACCCACCAGTCAGCTCTTCAAGCAAGAACATTCAATCTTTCCATATTTAACACTCCAAAAATTTCTTTGCGTAACAATATAGGTGGAGGAGGTTAGGCGGTTGTCGAGCTCAGTGGGAAGGTTTGGAGAGACGGCGATGAGAGCTTTTAGTACATAGGTCGGGACACCATTTAGACCTATTTACATTATTTGCCGCTTTTCAATCCGCATTCGACAAATCAACATCACTCAACATTTCCATATTTACCCCTCTCTTAAAGACACATGTTACACATATTCACTCAAAACTTCTATGTTCAAAAATATTGTTGCTTTATGGTAGTTATATTATTTAAGTCTATGTCAAGAATTTTGCATCGCTTCTACACATTTAATACTGCAATTCGATATGCAATATTTGCACCAATGACATTAGGCTTGTGATTTTAAAATTATTCTCCTTCTATAAGATAAATAGAAATATAATTAATTATTAAACTCTAATTAAAATAATCAAAGTATGAAAATAGAAGCATCAAATACCAACAAAATATTTAGTGGAGAGTTAGTGGCTTAGCTAACTGTGATGGAAAATTCCAATGATTTTTCAGATTTAAGTTTCCTGTATGTTTTTAATTTAAAAGGTTTAAACAAATTTGTTTAGTCTAACTGGTTATGTTTGTTGTCTTTTCTCAAAGATATCATTCAAATCCCATCACTTATGTATTTTTCCTGTAAATAAGAAAATAATAAATGATTGTGAAGACGAATCTACCCTTCCTACTTTTGCTATGGATGCAAGGATTTTGTAATGGGGGAAGCACCTTTCCCATTTCACTCTTATATTAGGTGTAGAGAAAGTAACCTGGTGGTTGAGTGTTTAGTGGGTCGGACACTATTTGGGCTCATTTACACTAGTAGCACCTTTTCCATTTGCGTTGGGCAAACCAACAACACTCAATCTATCCATATTTAACCCTCCAAGAATTGCTCTGGCTTAATAATAGAGGTAGAGGAGGTTAGCCGGTTGTTGAGTCTGATGAGAAGTTTGGAGAGGCAGTGATGGTTGAGCGTTTAGTGGGTCGGGGCACTATTTGGGTTTGTTTATATTAGTAGTGTCTTTTCCATCCGCATTCGGCAAACCAACATCACTCAACCTTTCCATATTTGCCCCTCTTAAATACACATGTTCCCCATATTCACTCAAAAGTTTTGTGTTTAAAAATATCGTTACTTTATGATAGTTATAACAATTAAGTCTATGTTAAGAATTCTACATCGCTTCTACACATTCAAGAGTGCAATTCGATATTGCAATATTTGAATCAATGACATTTCGGTTGCTAAACGTGGTGGAGAAGTCCTATATTTTTTCATATTTAAGCTTCATGTATGTTTTTAATTGAAAAAGATCACACAAATGTGTTTATTGTAATTGGTTATGTTTCTTATCTTTGTTCAAAGAGACCATGGTTCGAATCTCATTATTGATGTACATTTTATGTAAATAAGAAAATAATAAGTGATTGTGAAGACGAATCTACCCTTCCTACTTTCACTCTGGATGCAGGAAATTTGAAATGGGGCTTCAAGTTTTCTCATTTGGCTTTTATTTATTGTGTAGATTTAGTTTATATTTTTTTAATTTGGGACTTTCGTCTAACACTTGTATTTATAGTGAGTTTATTAATAAATTAATAGTGAGTTTAGTTCTCTCCTATTTGAAAAAAAACTTGGAATATCCAAGTCCCGCCTAATCTCAAATTCTTTATATGGAAATGCCTCAAAGTCATACTTCCCACAGTAGCGGCCCTTCAAACTCCTGGAGTAAACTGCCTTAACTGATGCCCTGTCTGCTAGAGACATCGAGAAAGCATTGAACATTTATTCTTCAGATGCCCTCTAGCCATCAGATTGTGGAGTTTAGTGGGATTGAGCAACTTTATTGAGACCGCCTAGACTGTTAACTTTAGTCTATGGTGGCGACATGTCATGGTCTCCAAGACCTCCCCATTCCACATTCTCCAATGCGTCTATTTACTTTGGAGAATCTGGAAGTCTAGAAATAAAGTGACCTTCGAATTTATCCAACCTCATGTCCGTTCCCTAGCCAGACAGTTCTACAACCAGGTCTTCGAAGTCTCCAATTTTTCTTCTTCATCCTCCACCTCGCATCTCTCTACTCCCA